AGTATATCCATTTCACAGGGAAGGAAATTTAGGCTCAAGAAGCAAGTAATTTATTCAAAATTACACTCTTAGGTGAGTGGCAGGACCCAAATTTGTTTGGCACTCCCCCCTCCAAATTCCATGCTTCTTTATTCTTGACATGCATAGCATGGCAAGTCCAGAATGAATGAGTTGTGAGTGATAAAGCAGAGGTAAAATTTTAAAATAGGAACCATTTCATATGTAATTTATTTTTATCTTTTATTATTTTATTTTTTTTGCGGTACGCGGGCCTCTCGCTGCGGTGGCCTCTCCCGTTGCGGAGCACAGGCTCCGGACGCGCAGGCCCAGCGGCCATGGCTCATGGGCCCAGCCGCTCCGCGGCATGTGGGATCCCCCCCCAGACCGGGGCATGAACCCGTGTCCCCTGCATCGGCAGGCGCACTCCCAACCACTGCGCCACCAGGGAAGCCCTTCATATGTAACTTAAAATGCTGGGTTGTATACTCACTCTAGAGATTGTTAATATCTATTGTTTTAGCCAAATCTAGATACCAGTGTGTATGATCCAGAAAATGGATGCAAACTAAGCAGTAGATATTCATAGCTAAAAGCTATGGATCACTGTACTTTAAATAAAAGTTGCTAAATTTTTCATAGAATATAACCATTTGATTTTATTTCTAAGGCTGAAATATGTATAACAGTTCAAGTAAGAAAATATTCCTTCGATCCAACCTTGGCATGAAAAAGTATTTTAAAATTCCAAAGCCCTACTGATCAATGAGAAAATTGCAAGGAAGGTGAGAATTAACAACTGAGGTCAAACAACTACCTTCAACAGTAGATTTCATGAATATTTTTTCAGGCCATTTAGGTAGCAGTCTTTCCTCAAAAGTTATAGAGAAAATATAAGGGTTAAGCGTTCTCCTAATTCTCGACATTTTCAGACATACCTTGACCAAGATCCAGAGGCAAAAACAAGTAACAGCTAAAAACTTGGGAGAAACATAAAATTTGGTTTGGGAAAAACGAGAAGCCTTAGGTACAAACTGATACAAAGATTTAAGGATTTAATAGGATGCATCTTCCAGGTCAGGAATAAGAAGTAGAGGATTAGTTTCAAATATTTACCAAAAAGAAAAAAAAGTGGGAGGGACTCAGGAGGGACTCAGGGATGGGAGGGGGCGGTGTTCTTTTGGAACACCTTGGGTGTCAAAGAGACACCCAAGGAAGGGAGTGCTGTAGATCTGCCTTCATGGAGATTTGCAAATACAACAAGAGCACTATTTCTGCCTAGAGCCTTGAGAATTAAACAAAATGACCTCTTTAGGTCTTTTCTTGTGTTGTGATCCTTTAGGTTTAAATACATTTCCTGGGCAATATCATAAAACACAGCAGAAACTGTTAAATCTAAGGGCTTAGGTTCAGGAGTCAGACAGACCACATTCTGAATCAAACATATGACTATTAACTTTTAATGGGCTTGAGCCACCCAGCAATCCTATTACATTTCCCAAGTCCATTTGCTCCCCAAGGTAAACATCTCACACCTTCACCTTTGCCCTTAAGTCTTCAAACCTCTTCTCCAACCACTTCTCATTCTTTACTGAGAAAATAGAAGCAATCATAAGAGTACTTATATAAACTCTTATTAACATATCTACCAACATCCCTGCATCTGGGCACACAGGCGCTGCCTTCCCTCCTGCTATGATGGATGAACTGTCTGTGTTACTAAGACCAACACCTCTATTTGTGCACTAGATCCCATCTTCAAGATGGTGCTCCAATAATTACCTGCAGCAAATTTTCTCCCCTTCCTAGAACACTCCCATCAGCCAACAAACATATCAGCCATCATTCCCTTCTAGGTACTCTTACATTACAAGAAAATGCCTCAAACCCCTCACTGTTTTCACTTCCTTTTATCCCTTTTTCCTTTGAACCCACTTTAATTAACCTTCTCTCACCAGTGATCCACCAAAATAACTCTTGTTGAGGTTCCCAATAAAATCCATGTTGTCTAGTCCAATGGCAACTTCTTAGCCCTCATCTGATTTGAAATGCCACCTATATTCAACCCAGCTGATTCCATATCTTCCTTCCTCATGTTCTATCTTGGATTCCAGGAAAACATTCCATCTTGATTCTCCTCCTAGCTCAAGGACTTTCTACAGTTTCCTTCACTGATTCCTCTTCATCTACCCAAACTCTAGTTAGAGTGCCCCATAGCCCAGTCCTCTGGTCTGGTCACTCCTCCTCTCTCTCTAACCCCATGCTCTGGTTGACCTCATCTGTCCTCATGGGTTTATACATCATATTCACGATGAAGACTCCCAAATTTGTATCTCTGGCCAGGACCTCTCCCTGAACACCAGGGTTATATATCAAACTGCCTACTTGACATCTCCACCTGGTTGACTAATAGGCATCTGAAGCACAGCAGAACCCCTGATCTTCTCTTCAAAAGCAGATCCACCTGCACAGTTACTTTCTCAAGAAATGGCTCCTTTATTCTTTCTCTTCCCTGGGCAGAAATCCTCGAAGTTATCCTTGATTCCTACCTTCTTCTCACAGGTCACAAACAATCCATCAGGAAACCTACGGACTCCCTTTTCAGAGCTTGCCCCAAATCTCACCACTTCTCACTACTTTCCCCACTTCCACTGTGGGTCTAAGCCACCCTTATCTCTTATCCAGATAACTGTACTACCTTTGCCCCTCTCCCCCGTAGAGTTATTCTCCAAAAGGCGGTCAAAAGGAACTTTTTGGAACATAAATCAGACTTTTTTTCCCTCACTCAAAATCCTTCAGTGACTTACTCTCTCATTCAGAATAAAAAACCAAGGATATCAGCACAGTCTACAGGGTCATATATATGGTCTGCAAATCACCCTCTTATGCTTCTCTGACTTCTCCTCCTCCTTTCTCACCCCACTTCAGGCACTCTGGCTTCCTCAGACATGTTTAGTCCTCTCCTACCTCAGGACCTTTGCACATGGTTTTCCTTATATCTAGAATGCTCCCCCCACCACCACCCCTGCCCACCCCCAGCTATTCACATGACTTGCTCCTTCACATCCTCGTTTTCTCTAATCAGCCTTTGCAAAACAGCACATACATAAACACCAAAGAAAGCCCACATTCTATTATTATCTTTACCTTGCTTTACTTGTCTCCATAGCACTTAACATATCAGAGTATATTTATTAGTTTGTTGTTTTGTTTTTTTTCCTGTCTCCCACTAGAAAGTGTCTTCCATGAAGGCCTTTGTTTGGTTCATTGCTCTATCTCCAACTCCTAGAACAGTTCCTGGCACAAAATAGTGCTCAGTGAATACTTGTTAAATAAATGAATGAATGAGCTTGACCACTTACTCTGTGTGACTTTAGGAAAATATCTGAATTCTATCACCTTTTAAATGAGGATAATGCCAGCGCCTACCTCAGAGATTATTATAAAATAAAATTAAATAATATGTATAAGCCTATTTAGAACTCAACAAAGGACATTATTGTAACATTATTATTTGTTATCCTATTCCTAATCAACATAATCTTTTGAAATTTTCTATAAAATTAAAGTTCCAGGACATTATGAGTATTACATAAAATTTTAAGGAAAAAAATTACTTAATCTTCCATTAAAACACTGACAACCAAGAGAAAATTCCTTACTGAGATCACATAAATCATTGAACTCATCATGTCTACATTGGAACTTTCTGTGGGTTGTCTATCTGGAATTTTCTGAGTGCACTACCCTTAAATTCTTTAGTGGAACTTTTCTTTCAATTAAACTTCACACTGCAGGACTTCAGACAAGTCTCTGACATTTTACCAAGGTAGGAGGTAGAACTTGGCTGTGAATTTAGTAAAACTTCTATCAACTAGCTTTCTGTGACCCTACATTAGTTAGCTGGTTTATACATAAAACTCCTCTACTGCATGTTAATTAATTTTTTTAAAATGAGTGAGATCCTAGGTAAATTATCATTTGATTATTTAAGGTGAAATGCATTTTGGTTTCCAAATTAATGACCGTCATCAACCTAATGCAAAACTCTTTTCCATGTGCCTAGAGAACCCTTTACTCCTCTACCTTGCCATTTACCATGGAATATTAAAGTTCTCTCTTTATGTGTTTGTCTCTCTCACTAGATCCTAAGCTAATTGAGGATAGTTACCATGTCTTAGTCATGCCAGTATTGGTAATATCTGGTCCCTGCTAGCCCATTAGAGATTATCATTCAATACTGTTTAAAATAAAGGCTGTGCAGTGTCACACTATAAAGCTAAACACTAGCACCAAATGAACCAAGGTTGAATACTGGCACTGCCTCTGTGTGAGATCAGACAAATTACTTAACTACTCTGTGCTTCAGTTTCCTCCTCTATAGAATAGGGATGATGATATTATTTACCTTATCAGATTGTTATAGAATTAAATAAATTAAATTAAGAAGTATAAAATGCTTATAATAGTGTGCTTAATAAATAGAATTCATTATAATAAATATGACTATTAGTTCTTAATAAATGTTAGCTTTCATTAAACTAGAAAACTGAGTGGCCCTTTCATGTCTACAAACTAATTCCAGAGCAGGCTCAATCATCTTTAGAGCAGACATTCTGCTTAAGAGACGGCAAGAGGGTGCCTGTGTCCACACCATTCACCTCTCCTGCAGACGTAAAGTGGCCTTCTGATCTCTTTCACTCAGTCCCCCAGGAAGACACTACCAGTTCATTGGTGTTCACACAAGACATGGAAAATTATTTACTATCTTGCTCTCCTTCTTTGCTCTCAGCCCCAGATTTCAAACAAACTTGGACTAGGACGAGATAGCTAGGGTTATATGTGTAAATGGAATGTCAGATAGTGGATCAGAGGCAGCCCAAAGACTCAAGCCTCAAACAAGCTTGAGTTACTTGGAGATTTCAGACCAAGCCACCCTTTGCGTCCCCATTACCCTGCTGACAACCCAGTTCTCCACTTGGCACCCTAGGACACAGCCTCACCTTGTGGAATTGTGGAGGGTATATTCGAGCCGCCCCATGGTTCAACAGCAGCTGGTAGCAGATCTCAGGCTGGGCGGCAGGTCGCACGGAGGTGACCTTCAGCACATACTGGATGGCAGCACAGCCATTGATATCCATGAGATTGGCTTCTGCGCCAGCTTCCAGCATCATGTGCATGAGCACGTGGTCACAGTTCCAGGCTGCCTTGTGGAGTGGAGTTTTAAAGTCATCATCCCGGGCGTTGACCTCGGCCTTGTAGTCCAACAGCATGCGGCAGATGAGGTGATGCTCCCTACTGAACTCCTACTCTTTAAAGCGGAGGGCCCAGTAGGTTGCGATAGCCAGTGGGGTCTCCATGTGGGCGTTCACACTGTCCACTATGGCCCCGTGCTCCACGTAGAAGGCCACCAGCTCCAGGAGGCCGAAGTGGGCAGCCGTGTGTAAGGGCGTCTCCTCATCCTGGTTGTTGGTCTTCATGTTCACGTTCGCCCCTAGAAAGGGAGAAAGAGGAAGACAATTATTTAAACATATTTTGTCATTTTCCACAAGGTTCATTAAACAGGCCTTTTCTCGCTGCTTCCCTTTCAATCTCTCCCACTGTATACCACCCATTTTTCCAAGTTCCATTTCTAGACCCTATGGAAGCCACTGCTTTGAAACGACAGCGCCACCTCCTGGACAACCAGCAAATGTACTGAGGTGATGGGGGAGAGGGCCTGAGAGCAAAGGATTTCGGCTGGGAAGCTGGAGCACTGTCAGTTGAGTTATAGTTCCTACCCCTAGGTGGATTTGGAAATACAAAGTGATTCCGATAACCAAATAGCTTTTATCAATAGAATAGCAAATATCATTAAAAATGAAGGTTATATCACAATCTTTGAGGTTCATACATGTGGCTTTAAAAGTCTTCAGTCTCTTGATGAGATTTCTTCAAAATCACCTTTTTCTTTTCTTTCAAGGGAACTAAACCTAAATGTTTGGTCCAAGGGAACTTCAGTGGTATGGAAATTGCTCAGCCCTCTGACTGAACACTGACAATATTAAGCTGCTGAAGTCTGTGAGGTTCCTTTGGAATACAACTGGGGCAAAAACAAAAAACACAAAACACTTTGACCACCAAACTAGACTAAGGGTCATATTTTGAAAGGAAAGGGATAGAAGCTAGTAAAATAAAATACTCAGACAATTAAAGACTGTATGTAACATGTCCAATTTATGGTTGACAAATGCTGTTTAGAAATACAGATTATTAGTGCTTGGAAATCTCCTTAGAAATTATTTAATCCAACCCACTTATCTAACAGACCAGGAAACTGAGTGAATTTTATTTTTTGATAGGGAAGTTAAGTAGTAGAATGGTCAAATTGAGAAGCTGAAATTTTCCTTCTCAGCCCAGTTTAATTGGGGTGAGCTAAGTGACCTCGGGGGGCCTATTCTGTGATCAATTCTACTGGAAATTTTTATAGTTACTTCAAGTATAAATCTGGAAATACTTTTATTATTATCATTATTATTATTATGCCAGCAACTAATATTTATTAAGCACTTGCCATGTACAACATTCTGAGCTAAATGCTTTTCACATATTGCCTCATGGAATCTTCCTAGCAACCCTTTGCAGGAGGTGCATTTTTCCCCTAATTTTACAGATGAATAAATTTGTTTTTAGACTAATAACTATACCAAGCTAAGAAGAAATAGAACAGAGGTTTGAAAGCAGACAGCCTGGCTTCAAAATCCCTCACCACTGTGCTATTCTACGTCATTATTTTCCTAAAATTTTTTTTTCTGTACTTTGCTCTCTTTGGATATTTGAAAACTTGAAACTAACAGAGAAATAATGTTGCATTTTATTTATTTTAAAAATCTGTTCTCTGTGTGTTGCTCTTTTATGCCCTTTTTTATGGCACCCTCTGATCATATGGAACACATTTAAGAAAGGCAATACTCCTACAAGCTTACTTGGTGTCATAAAAAAGCCACCCCTCAGTGAGGTTTCTGAAAGCACATTGCTCTGTAAACTCAGAGACTATCTCTGCTCCTAACTTTCAGGAAGCAGAATTATAAGTAAAAATTATCCCTCACAACAATCTGCTATCTGTGTTCATCAGTATTCCGCCCTGGAGAAGTTCTGGGTCACATCTCCCTTCAGGTCAGCACTTCTTTGTGCTGGAGTGAAATGCGATGAGTAAGAATGTCTTCCCAGAAGCTAATGCAGGGTCACTTCAGATGCTGGAGAATTTCCAGTAAGAAAGGGAATCAAAGGGTCAGGATGAAAATTTTATAGGCCAACTTGGAAGTAACCACGTCCTTTATTTTTTAATGTACTTGGACATTTACAATGGATCCCTGACCTCTTGCTACAACTAGATATACTGCGTAGTTTCCTTTTCTGAATAGGAGAGCCTTATTTTTATATTTGAATTGTGGCTTTGAGTGTAACTTTTCCAGGGACTACATAAGGTAGGATGATTTGACTACTTTTCTATATTAGATTTTGTGATTCATTCAAGAAATTAGAGACCATAAACATAAATTCTTGGGAACTTAAAAAAATATTTTTTTTTAATGTGAAAATGCAATGTATTAGTTTCCTAGAGCTGCCGTAACAAAGTACCGCAAAGTAGTACCACAAACAACAGAAATTTGTTCATGGTTCTAGAGACTGGTAGTGAAATTACAGTGTTGATGAGAGTGGCTACTTCTGAGGGTTTTAAAGGAGAATCTGTCTCATGCCTGCCTCCTAGCTTCTGGTGATGTCCATCAATCCTTGGTGTTCCTTGGCTTGTAGATGTATCACTCCAAGGACTGCCTCTATCTTCACATGGTTCTCTCTGTGTCTCTGTGTCTCTGTCTCTTCACATGGCTGCCTTCTTATGACACCAATCATACTGCATTAGGGGCCCATCCTGCTCTACTCATCTTAACTAATTACAGCTGCAACAACCCTGTATCCAAACAAGGTCACATGCTGAGTTGCAGGGGATTAGGACTTCAACATATCTTCTTTTGGGGGAAGGGAGGGGCTACAATTCAACCCATAATATATAACATGCATTACATAATATATAAAAATATATATGTGCAGTTTAAAAAATATTGTAAAGCTATCACTGATGTAATCACATCCCAGGTCCAGAAATCAAACACTCCCTGACCCGGAAAAGCCCTCTACTGTCCAATCTATCCTTCCACCTCACAACTCCACCATCCTGCTGGAGGTAATATTATTCTGACTTTTCTGATAATCATGTCCTTGAATTTCTTTATCGTTTTACCACCTTTGTATACACCTCTAAACAAGATAGTTTAGTTTCATTTATTTTCCAACTTTATATAAATGAAATAATCAACACATATTCTTTCATGACTTGCTTCTTTCACTCAACACTACGTTTGTGAAAATGATCTATGTTGCGATGTCTAGCTCTTGTTTGTTCATTTTATTGTGTTCTATCTCACAGTACAAGTAATACTACTAGTGATAGACATTTACAGTTTCAGACTATTCCAAACACTGCTGCCATGAGTATTCTTGTGCATTCTTGTACCCTGGTGCTCATGGGCAGGGTTCACAGGGTTCTATACCTATGAGTGGAATTGCTGGGTCATCGGGTGTGCTTATCTTCAGCGTCATTAGATGGTATCAAATAGGTGTTTTACCAGTCTACACTCCCATAAGCCATGTGTGAGGGTTCTTATCAACATTTGGTATTTTCATTCTACTTAATTTTAGTCGGTGCATAGTGATATCTCATTGTTTGAATATTTATTTCCCTAATTAACAACTAGGTTAGACATATTTTAATATTTTTATTAAACAAATATTGCTTTTTATTTACTATTATAAAGCATTTCCATATTGTTATATTATCATTTAAAATATCATTTAAAAATAATGACATAATATTCCATAGTGAGTTTACCCTCCTGATGGATGTGAAGACTTTTTTCCAAAGTTTTGATCTTATGACTAATGCTACAATTGATACATTTGTGTGTAAATCTTTGGATTATTTCCTTAGCATAAATTCCCCCAAAATAGAGTCATTAAGCTGAAATATCTGAGTTATTTTAAGGGTCTTTATGAATAATTGAGGAAAGTTATATTTATCTATATCTCTCTATATTTATATACATCTCTCATTGATGCATGAGTGCTATTTTACTCACCAGTATGTAGTTACACAATTTAAAAAATATGTTTGCTATTTGGAAGTAAAAAATGGTCTCTCTTTTCCTTTTCATTTGAATTGATTTGTTTATTAGAGTTTGAACACTTTGTCTGTAATTATTAACTAGTAGCATTTCTTCTTTAGTTATTGTCCAAATTTTTGTCCTTTTATACTCTGAAGCCTTTCTGCTTTGTTTACATTTATATGAGTCATTCATTAAAATAATATTTAAGCCTATGCTCTCATAATTGGTATACATTTTTTAACCAGTTTATTTTGATTTTTCTTTAATAATGTAAACTTTATATGGTCAAATTCTCCCTTTGTTTTTTCGCTTTTGCTTTTGTTTTTGGTATTAGAATGTCCTACTCCTCTCAGAGGTTTCATAACTTATCCAGATTAATTATAATTGGATTTTTAATAGATTTTTTAAAAATGTTTAACATTTAATTCATGTGGAACTTATTGTGGTGTACTTACCAATTTAGGAAGAATTGATATTCCTATAGCATAGAGTCTTTTCATGTAGGAACATGGTCTGTTTCTCTAAAAAGTTTTCTTTACATTTCTGTAAACTATGCCCCCACAAAATCTGTAGCAATTTTCATTTTAGGGAAGACGGGTAAATTATTTCTGGGGTAAAGTAAATTTTAGTGAGAGAAGGCCCTTCATGAACCTTCTAATTTATGCAAGATGGACTCCAGAACTAGTCTGAAATGGTTGCAAATTAGATGGAGAAAAATTTTCATTTTCATTGCCTGATAAAGAACAAGAACTTTTCAAATTTAATCTGTGGGCAAAGGAGACAGAGATTTGGTTGCACTGAGAATATGATGAAAAGGGGACATAGGATAAGAATTGCACAGAAAGAGTGGATGCTGGCCACAGAAATGGTACTGTGATACTCCTGAAGCCAGGAATATAGGGACACAGTGCCACAGGAGGGACACAGTGCCAGTCAACATTCAATTTTTTCTGTTCTTCCATACTGTATGATAGTATCCATTCATTACCCTCCAACAGAGAGAATCAATTTCATGAATCCTAGTTATGAGACCTCACATTTCCTTACTTCTTTTCCCAAATAAAATTAAACTGCTTCCAAGTGCCCATTTGCTGGCTTGGCTGATCATCTGAGATCAGTCATCACGTAGCCCCCTCTGCTGGGCTTTGCTACTCCCTACATTCTAAGAGTTGGCCCTCAGAGGCATCCTCTCCAAAGTATCCACATTCCCTCACAGTTCTGTCACCTCTAAAGCTACTTGAGAGTGGGGGCAGGTCTCTGTAGAAACTGTCACCTCTCCATCTTCCCAGAC